TCCCTGTGTCCCCCCGCTCCCCCCGCTCCCCCCGTGCCCCGGTGCCCCGGTGCCCTCACCAGTTTGATGTCGCCGCTGCCCACGAGGGCGCTGAGCTCGCTCAGGTCCCGCAGCAGCCCGTTGAGCACCTCGGCCGCGCGGCGCCGCTGCTGCCCCCCGAGCTCCCGCGCCCGCGACAGCTCCGACTCCAGCGACAGCGTGGTGGCCTGCCACAGCGACAGCGCTGGCACTGCGGGCAGCGGCACCCGGCACCCCCCGGGACCCCCCCGGGCCACCAGGGCACACCCAGGACATCCTGCGGGCCGCCCGGGCACCCCCGCACCTGAGCACCCCAACACTGCCGACACCCCATGTGCCCCCTGTGCCCCTGTGCCCCCACAGCCCTGGCACCCCCTGTGCCCCTGTGCCCCCTGTGCCCCCACAGCCCTGGCACCCCCGTGTGCCCCCTGTGCTCCCTGTGCCCCCACAGCCCTGGCACCCCCTGTGCCCCTGTGCTCCCTGTGCCCCTACAGCCCCCACAGCCCTGGCACCCTGGTGTGCCCGCACTCCCAGCATGCCCTGGCACACCCCAGTGCTGCCCAGTACCGCCCAAAACCATCCAGTACCACCCAGTACTGCCCCGAACCACCCAGTACTGCCCAGTCCCGCCCAGTGCTGCCCAGTACCATCCAGTACTGCCCAGAACCACCCAGTGCTGCCCAGTCCCGTCCAGTCCCGCCCATCCTGGCCCCCCCAGCGCCCCTCAGGACTCCCAGAACCGCCACCGTGGCACCACCCCCAGCACCTCAAGGTCCCACCCGAGGGGAGCACCCAGCCTGGCACCCCAGTTCAAGGGCAGGGTTCCCCAGTCTGGGCACTGGTTTGAGGCAGGGGGAATCCTCTCTTCTGCTTGGGGGGAATCTCTTTTTGGGGTGCGGCTTGATGGGAGGGGGAGTCCCCTCTTTGGGGTCCAGTTTGGGGTTTAGGGGCTCCCAAGTTTGAGGCTCCTGTTTTGGGGTTTCTCTGGCTCACAGCATCCCAGTTTGGGTTTGGGAGCTCCAGTTTGGGCCTGGGGGAGGGGGCTTTGGGCGTTGCTGTGTCAGAGGGGGAGGGTCCCAGTGGGCTCCACGCAGGTTTTCCAGTGGGGTTGAGGATCCTGTTTGGGGTTACCAGCGGGATCTGGGGGGGATCTCAGCAGGGATCCCAAGCGGGGTCTCGGTAGGAGCCCATTGGGGGTCCCAGTCTGACACCCCCAGGGGTTCCCACTGTGACCTTGTGGAGCCCTCAGCAGGAATCCCCACTGGCCATGGGGATTCCCAGGAGGATCCTGCTGGGAATCCCTGTGGGGTGCCCCTGGGGGCTCTCAGAAGGTTTCCCAGTGGATTCACAGCCACTCTGGGGTTCCCGGTGGGGGAGTCCCAGCAGGGATCCCAGCTGAGTCCCCACTGGGTTTCCTGTTGGGCTCCCAGCAGGACCCCACTGGAATTCCCAGTGCAGGGTCCCAGCAGGGTTCCCAGCTGGATTCCCAGTAGGATCCTGTTGGAAATCCCCACTGGGTTCCTGTGGGAATTCCCAGCAGGACCCCAGTGTGAGTCCTGGTGGGGACCCCATGGAGGTTTTGCCGTGGTGTTTCCCTGCTGGGCTCCCAGTAGGACCCCACTGGGCTCCCAGTTGTGTTCCCTGTTGAGTTCCCAGTGATTTCCCCACTGGGTTTCCTGGTTCGTTTCCCTGTAGGGTTCCCACTGGTGTCCCTGTTGGTTTCCCCATTGGGTTCCCATTGACTCCCCATTGTTTTCCCCACTGATTTCCCTGCTCTTTTCCCCACTGATTTCCCTGCTGTTTTCCCCATTGCTTTCCCCACTGGGTTCCCAGTTGTTTTCCCCATTGGGTTTCCCCCAGGGCTCCCATTGGTTTCCCCTGGTTTCCCCATTGATTTCCCTGCTCTTTTTCCCACTGGGTTCCCCACTGTGTTCCCAGCTGATTTCCTCACTGATTTCCCTGTTGGGTTTCCCACTGGGTTCCCCATTGGGTTCCCCATGATTTCCCTGTAGACTTTCCCGTTGATTTCCCTGCTATTTTTCCTGTTGGTTTCCCCATTGGGGTCCCAAATGTTGTTCCCAGCTGATTTCCTCACTGATTTCCCTGTTGGGTTTCCCACTGGGTTCCCCATTGGGTTCCCCATGATTTCCCTGTAGACTTTCCCGTTGATTTCCCTGCTATTTTTCCTGTTGGTTTCCCCATTGGGGTCCCAAATGCGTTCCCAGTTAGGTTTCTCCACTGATTTCCCCATTATTTTCCCCACAGATTTCCCTGTAGGATTCCCCATTGGTTTCCCTGTAGGATTTCCCATTTATTTCCCCATTGATTTCCCTGTAGGATTTCCCACTGGTTTCCCTGTAGGATTTCCCATTTATTTCCCCACTGGTTTCCCCACAGATTTCCCTGTAGGGTTTCCCATTGGTTTCCCTGTAGGGTTCCCGTTGTTTTCTCCACTGAGCTCCCAGCCCCACCGATGCTCTGCGGGCTGTCCCGGTGGCTGTCCCAGTGTCCCTATGCCTGTCCCAGTGTCTGTTCCATCCGTCCCAGTGTCTGTCCCAGTGGCTGTCCCGCTGTCTGTCCCTGTGTCTGTCCCGCTGTCCTGGTGTCTGTCCCAATGCCTGTCCCTGTGCCTGTCCCTGTGCCTGTCCTGGTGGATGTCCTGGCTGTCCCTGTGCCTGTCCCTGTGTCTGTCCCAGTGTCCCTGTGTCTGTCCCACTGTCTGTCCCAGTGCCTGTCCCGGTGTCTGTCCCGTCCATCCCAGTGTCCGTCCCAGTGTCCGTCCCAGTGTCCGTCCCAGTGTCCGTCCCTGTGCCTGTCCCTGTCCCAGTGTCTGTCCCGTCCGTCCCAGTGGCTATCCCTGTGCCTGTCCCGCTGTCTGTCCTGGTGTCTGTCCCAGTGCCTGTCCCTGTGCCTGTCCCAGTGTCCCTGTCCCTGTCCCGGTGTCTGTCCCGTCTGTCCCTGTGCCTGTCCCTGTCCCTGTCCCGGTGTCTGTCCTGTCCGTCCCAGTGTCCGTCCCGGTGTCCGTGCCTCACCTCGGTGCGGGCCAGCTCGTCGGCGAGCCGGCGGTTGTGGCGCCCGGTGTCCTCGGCCTCCTGGGCCTTGCGGTCGTAGCTCCGGGCCAGCTCCTCCAGCGCCGCCAGCACCTCGGTGACCTCGGCCCGCGCCGCGCCGTGCTCGGCCCGCAGCGCCGCCAGCTCCCGGCGCGCCGCCTCGCCCCCGCCGCGCGCCGCCGCCAGCACCTGCCCCGGGGACACCGGGACACCGGGACACGGGTCAGAGTGGGGTCCCACGGGTCATGGTGGGGGGCACAGGGGTCATGGTGGGGGGCACAGGGGGTAATGGTGGGGGTCCCAGGGGTCATGGTGAGGGTCCCAGGGGTCATGGTGGGGAGCACAGGGGTCACAGTGAGCATCCCAGGGGTCATGGTGGGGTCCAAGGGAGCAGAGTGGGGGTCCCAGGGGTCATGGTGGGGTCCAGGGGTCATGGTGGGCATCCCCAGGAGACCTAGAGGTCGAGGGGGAGGGTCGGGGTCCTGGGGGGTCCTGGGACCAGTCCCAAAGTGGTCCTGGCAGAGTCAGCCTGAGGTCACAACTGGGGGTCCCAGAGGAGTCCTGGAGGGTCTCTGGGGGGTCCTGAAGGAGCCCTGGGGGGTCCCAGTGAGGCCACATGGGGGTCCTGGGGGGTCAGGGTTTGGAGGGTCCCAGGCCCTCAGGGTGAGGGGGCCCAGGGGGTGTGGGCTGGGGTCCCAGAGGGGTCCCAGAGGGTGCCTGGCTCTGGGAAGGTCTGGGGGGGTCACACAGAGGGGGTCTGCGGGGGCAGGGCCCTCACCTCCTCCTGGTCCAGCATCTGCTGCTTGAGCTTCTCCATGATCTGGCTCTGCTGGTTGATCTCGTCATCCTGGGGACACAGGGGACACAGGGGACACAGGGGTCACAGGGGACATAGGGGACACAGGGGTCACAGGGGTCACAGGGGACACAGGGGTCACAGGGGTCACAGGGGACACAGGGGTCACAGGGGTCACAGGGGGCAGAGGGGACACAGGGGACACAGGGGACACAGGGGCCTCGGTGACCTCGGCCCGCGCCGCGCCGTGCTCGGCCCGCAGCGCCGCCAGCTCCCGGCGCGCCGCCTCGCCCCCGCCGCGCGCCGCCGCCAGCACCTGCCCCGGGGACACCGGGACACCGGGACACGGGTCAGAGTGGGGTCCCACGGGTCATGGTGGGGGGCACAGGGGTCATGGTGGGGGGCACAGGGGGTAATGGTGGGGGTCCCAGGGGTCATGGTGAGGGTCCCAGGGGTCATGGTGGGGAGCACAGGGGTCACAGTGAGCATCCCAGGGGTCATGGTGGGGGGCACAGGGGGCAGAGTGTGGTCCCACAGGTCATGGTGAGGGTCCCAGGGGTCACAGTGAGCATCCCAGGGGTCATGGTGGGGTCCAAGGGAGCAGAGTGGGGGTCCCAGGGGTCATGGTGGGGTCCAGGGGTCATGGTGGGCATCCCCAGGAGACCTAGAGGTCGAGGGGGAGGGTCGGGGTCCTGGGGGGTCCTGGGACCAGTCCCAATGTGGTCCTGGCAGAGTCAGCCTGAGGTCACAACTGGGGGTCCCAGAGGAGTCCTGGAGGGTCTCTGGGGGGTCCTGAAGGAGCCCTGGGGGGTCCCAGTGAGGCCACATGGGGGTCCTGGGGGGTCAGGGTTTGGAGGGTCCCAGGCCCTCAGGGTGAGGGGGCCCAGGGGGTGTGGGCTGGGGTCCCAGAGGGGTCCCAGAGGGTGCCTGGCTCTGGGAAGGTCTGGGGGGGTCACACAGAGGGGGTCTGCGGGGGCAGGGCCCTCACCTCCTCCTGGTCCAGCATCTGCTGCTTGAGCTTCTCCATGATCTGGCTCTGCTGGTTGATCTCGTCATCCTGGGGACACAGGGGACACAGGGGAGGGCACCCCGAAACTGGCACCCCTGCTCCCCGAAACCGGCACCCTAAAACTGGCACCACTGCTCCCCGAAACTGGCACCCCTCACCGGGCACCCCATCTCCCCTCACCGGGCACCCCAGGGTCACCCCAGGGGGGTCACCTGCCTCCCCTCCCCTCCCAGATTTGGGGACCCCAGCGCAGCCCCCGTGAGGTGCAGGGGGCACTCGGGGGGCACGCGGGGGGCACTCGGGGGGCACTGGGGGCACTCGGGGGCACTGGGGACAGTTGGGGTGAAGGGGAGGAATTTGGGGTGCACTGAAGGCAGTCGGGGTGCACTGGGGCAGTGGGGGTGTGGCTGGGACACCATGGGTGAACTTGGGGTGCATTGGGAGCAGCTGGGGCGCACTGACAGCAGTTGGGATGCACTGGGGGCACTTGGGGTGCGCTGAGTGTAGTTGGGGTGCAGCAGGAGCTGTTGGGGTGTACTGGAGATAGTGGGGGTGCAGCAGGTGTTGTTGGGGTGCACTGGGACACCATGGGTGAATTTGGGGTGCAGCAGGCACAGTTGGGGTGCACTGGGGGCAGTTGGGGTTCAGCATTCGCCGTTGGGGTGCAGCAGGCACTGTTGGGGTGCACTGAGTGTAGCTGGGGTGCACTGGGCACAGTTGGGGTGCAGCAGGCGCTGTTGGAGTGCACTGGGCACTGTTGGGGTGCAGCAGGCGCTGTTGGGGAGCAGCAGGCGCTGTTGGGGTGCACTGGGCACAGTTGGGGTGCAGCATTCGCTGTTGGGGTGCAGCATTCGCTGTTGGGGTGCACTGAGTGTAGTTGGGGTGCACTGGGCGCTGTTGGGGTGCACTGGGCACAGTTGGGGTGCACTGGGCACAGTTGGGGTGCAGCAGGCGCTGTTGGGGTGCACTGGGCACAGTTGGGGTGCACTGAGTGCAGTTGGGGTGCAGCAAGGGCTGTTGGGGTGCACTGGGCACTGTTGGGGAGCAGCAGGCGCTGTTAGGGTGCACTGGGCACAGTTGGGGTGCACTGGGCACAGTTGGGGTGCAGCATTCGCTGTTGGGGTGCAGCATTCGCTGTTGGGGTGCACTGAGTGTAGTTGGGGTGCACTGGGCGCTGTTGGGGTGCACTGGGCACAGTTGGGGTGCAGCAGGCGCTGTTGGGGTGCACTGGGCACAGTTGGGGTGCACTGGGCACAGTTGGGGTGCAGCAGGCGCTGTTGGGGTGCGCTGCCGTCCATGGGTGCCCCGTGGGTCCCCGTGGGTGCCCCGGGGGGTCTCGGGGGGTCTCGGGGTGCTCTGGGCACGGAGCGGGGGGCGCACAGCAGGCGGGGGGACGGGGTGCGGCCGGACACCCCCATTCCCGGGGGGCACCCCCAGCCCCCCCACCTCTGGCCGAACATGAGCGTGGATTTGGTCTCGGCGTCGTTGTAGCTGGAGGGCGAGCAGCAGATGAACATGGTGGTGCGGCAGTTCCCGCCCAGAGAGTCCTGCAGGATCCGCGTCATCTTGCTGTCGCGATAGGGCACGTACGCCTTCTGCGGGGGGAGGGGGCGTCAGCGCCGGGACCCCCGCGGGACAGCCGGGGGACAGCCGGGGGGAGGCCGGGGAGTGCCCACGCTGGTGTTCCTGTCCCTGGCTGCCACCACCCCGTGGGTGGCATTGAGCACTGGGTGTCCTCCACAGGTGCCACCCACCCCTGGGTGTTCCCCCTGAGTGTCCCCTGCTCCTCAGTGTCCCCACAGGTGCCACCCACCCCTAGGAGCCTCCACAGTGCCAAACTCCGTGTCCCCTTGGGTGGCATTTACCCCCGTGGGTGCTCCCCTTACCACACCCCTGGTGTCACGGCGGTGCCACCCCAGTGCCACCACGGTGCCACTCACCCCTTGGCGCACTGCAGGGTGGGCCGGTCCTGCAGGAACCAGGGCAGGAAGCGCTGGAACTCCTCGGCCGTGGGGCGCCGCAGCCGCTTCAGGCACTGGCCCAGGGCGCAGCTGGGGTCAGCTGCGGGCACACGCGGGCTCAGCGCGGCCCCGCTCACACCGCGGGCACCGCGGGCACCCAAGGGCGCGCCGTGCCCGGCACAGCAGGCACCAAGCAGGCGCCCAGGGGGCATCACGGTAGGTGCCCAATGACCTCCCAATGGGCACCCAGTGGGCACCCAGTGGGCATTCAATGGACATCCAATGGACGCCATGGTGGGCACCCAATGGCCATGGCAGTGGACACTCATTGTACATCTAAGAACCATCATGGCGGGCACCCCATGGGCACCCACCAGCCACCATGGTGGGCACCCAATGGCACCCAACAGCCACCATGGTGGGCACCCAGTGGGCACCCAACAGGCACCATGGTGGGCACCCAATGGCACCCAACAGCCACCATGGTGGGCACCCAGTGGGCACCCAACAGGGGCTGGGGGACACCCGGGGTGGCTGGGGGACACTCGGGGGGCTCCGGGGGTCTCACCGTGCCCTCGGCCAGCGCCGAGATGACGTTGCCCAGCGCCGACAGGGACTTGTTGATGTTTTTGGCCTCGTCCAGCACGGCCCCCTCAGCCCCCGTCTTGCTCACCTGGGGGGAGGGGGCGGCTCAGGGACCACCGTGTGCCCCCCTCCCCCAGGGATGGTCGCAGACCCCAGCCCAGAGTGCCATCAGGCAGGAGACCCCCAGTGCCAACACCCAGAGACCCCCACCCCAGCCTGGAGATCCTGATGGCCCCAAACCACAACGGCCCCAAAAAACCCCAACGGCCCCAAAAAACCCACTGACCCCCAAACCCCAATGATCCCAAACCCAATGTCCCCCAAACTCCACGGACTCCCCCAAAATGCCCCCCACCCTCCTAACGTCCCCCAAAATCTCATGAACGCCCCCAGGTCCCACTTTCCAGGGGGGACACCACCCCCAGTGCCCCTCCAGTGCTCCCAGTGCCCCCCCAGTCCCCTCCCAGTGCTCCCAGTGCCTCCCCAGTGTCCCCCAGTGCCCTCCCAATGCCCCCCCGAGCTCCTCGCAGTGCCCTCAGTGCCCCCCAGTCCCCTCCCAGGGCCCCCAGTGCCCTATCTCCTAACGTCCCCCAAAATCTCATGAACGCCCCCAGGTCCCGCTTTCCAGGGGGGACACCACCCCCAGTGCCCCTCCAGTGCTCCCAGTGCCCCCCCAGTCCCCTCCCAGTGCTCCCAGTGCCTCCCCAGTGTCCCCCAGTGCCCTCCCAATGCCCCCCCCAACTCCCCGCCATGCCCTCCGGGCCCCCCAG